GATTAATTAATTATCTTTGGTACCGCTAGATGTAAGGTTTGGTATTTTAAGTAACTTACTTAAGTTGTTTGGTATTAATAGATGTCAGTGCTGGTATATTCCAGAGTTTATTTTTAATTTTGTGCTGGGAATTATTACATTAAAAGTTATGAATAATACAGTTAATTAAAAAAATTAAAAAGCAATGTGCTTGTGTTGGAATAAATTATTGTGGATTAACAATAAAAAGGTTAGATATTATAATACACAAGTTTTGTATTCACAATTCACAGTTACTTGTTTATAAGGCTGTTTTGGGAAAGAATTTTAAATAAGTAGATGTAAATTATTAATAAAAAGAAGTCACTTCTATGCTCGCGAACGGTTAAATTAGAAATTCGAAAAAGGTTGTTAAAGGTGTATGTTTGGAGCACGGCGTTGTACGGGTGCGAAACATGGACAGTGGGAGCGGCGGAAAAGAAAAGGTTAGAAGCGTTCGAAATGTGGTGTTATAGGCGGATGATGAGGATATCGTGGGTAGAAAATGTTAGAAATGAAGAGGTATTAGAAAGAATAGGAGAACAGAGGACTCTGTGGAAGTCAATAAAAAATAGGCGAGATAGGTTGGTAGGACACCTTCTTAGGCATGAAGGTCTAGTCAGAGACATATTAGAGGCAGAAACAGGAGTTAGGAGGGGTAGAGGTAGACCTAGATTAGATTACTGTTCTCAAATAGTTAAGGATGTGGGTTGTTCTAGTTTTAGGGAAATGCGAAGTTTAGCTCAGGATAGGAAAGAGTGGAGGTACGTGTCCAACCAGTCTTAGGACTGATGACCTTATGATGATGATGAGATGTAATTTTAGTAGGTATTTATTAGAAAATTTATGTTACCCATCTATTAACAATGTTAAGATGCAAATCCCTTAAGAGATTACTGTTCTTACAACTAAGAGGAAGTTGATAAAGTTTGACCGGACTTCCCGAAAAGTTATTTCCGTTTCTTGTTAGTCAAAACCACAAGTAGCGTTTATATTATTATAATCTTCGTGCAAGCACTAGTACGACATCTCTCCTTCGGGTTTCGTATCCTTGCAGCATCTGCTGGTAAAATTCGTGGGAAGGTCCCACAAAAGTTTATCCTGATGTTACCATCATAGTCGGGGTGACCGCGCGCGCGTCCTTGCGGGGGACCGTGCCATCCCCATCCGCGCCCTTTCTATTATAAACAGCTTGCGCTGCATCTGGAGTCTAATAAAGTTCCAAAACAAAATTATTATTTCGAAGAGAACAACGTCTGGCATAGCGGCGACGCTCGGCGACGCTGACGACGCTGACGACGACGACACAATAACGGAATGTGACGGGTCGAGATAATTTTCGTAACTCGTCGCCCACCGAAAGCTTTTACCATTTTCAACGTGTACGTCAGTATATACGGGGTCACTCTAGAAAATGATATTATCCATCGTCGAAGAAGTAAAGCATTGAATCTTCGGGTTTTGTGTAGTAAATTGGATCGAGATGCAGTTGTGTGTGGCCGTCTACAAAATTTGTGAACACATACATACTGTGGATTACATTTTTTTTGGTCACATCTGTCTGAAAATATCTTCGGCTTCTCCGAAAACTGTCCTAAAGTAACTAAACTTTTAAACTCTTTTGAACAAAACGCAATATCCCTCATAAGCTTCAAACTAAATTTATTTGTATTATTAATCATTAATATCTAGGAATTCGGATAACCCATGATGGAAGAAGCTGTAGGCATGTAAAACAACCCGAAATAAAAATGTTCAGTCTCTCAGAGTCTCTGAAAGCGAGACGCTAGTCTCCGTCTCTCATCGAGTCTCTCTGCTGTCGCTGAGAGAAAAAAACTGTTTAGCGTCTCTGAACGAGAGACTCGAGTCGCTCATAGAGAGGTCTTCATTTCGTATCCAGTCTCTGAACTAGAGACTCGAATCTCTCAATAAGTGGTGTCTCGATAAAAGTTCAACATATTTCACAGATCCCAGTCTTTCTACTAGAGACTCGAGTCTCTCAATTTTTCAGTTTTATTCATTCAGTCTCTGTGAGAGAATTTTATCGTTCGAGTCTCTCATACAGAGACTGTGAGAGATCCATAAAAACACCTAGACAATAACTGAAAGACTCTGAGAGACTGGAGAGAGACTGAAAATTTTTGTCTAGGGAAATGATAGCGCAGGGTCGATTCGCCTTGAATAAAGAAAGTCACTTCTGTGCTCGCGAAAGGTTAATTTAGAAATTCGAAAAGGGATGTTAATTTTCTAATTAACGTTGAATACCCAGACCTTTAATTGATATATGGTAATGGTACATGTACCTGTGACCTACACAAATAATAAATTGTTCTAAAATGTTGCCAGACGTTCCTGGTTCCTTGTTCAGTCGATATAGCGGTGAAGACGTAGATTATTCTTTTCCAAATTATTACAGAATACTTTGTAATGATAACATTTTTCACGGGAAACTAAACATTTAAGTATCACTTTATGAAAACAAAAATTTTCTAATTCAAAATCATTATTGGAAATGGGTACACTTCAAATATTTCATTTGTATTTGCACCACGACAATTTACCATATATAGTACCAATGACCAACATTTTTTAAAAAGTGCCCTAAAAGCAATTCTACATTAAAATTCGAGGCATTACCTTGTACATTAGTTTTCACAACAAAAACTATATATATATAATTCCGTGATACTAATTCCTGGTTTCAAACCATGAAAATTAGATGCATTTTGTTTCTCTGGAAAAAGAAATTTACTTATTGTAAGTGATTGCCAACAAATTGATCTTGTTTACTTCTGGGCTAGTAATGAGCAAATCAATACCAAGACCGTCCCAGTCTTGGTTTTGTTTATTCGGTCTTAGTCTTGGACGTGCTCAAATACTTCTCGATCTTGTTCTTGGTGTTGTTTCTTATCTCTTTGTCTTGTTTATTTAATAATTTTAAACACAAATTTTTCTATTTACAATACATATTCGACCTTGGTTTTAGTCTTGGTCTTGTTCGTTTGGTCTTGGTTTTAGTGTTGGTTTTGTTCCTTCTGTCTTGGTCTTGCTAACATAAAGACAGTCTTGGTTTTACATTGTCACTAGACAAACACCAAGTCTCATCACTATTCTGGGCTAGGCAAACTATTTATGAAGCAGTCCCTGTATAATGTCGGATGTAAGGGTGTAAATGTGTATGTGTGTCTTTATGGACGAAGGGGAGGTAGAGTGCATTTGCCGACTTTCACGATAAAAGATTGGCTTTTCTCATGCGGTGAAAAACAACATCGGGCCTTTATTTACTCCACGTCCTTTATCACACCATCCAGGCATATGAATTCCGTTACACTGAGCTAAAAAAAAGGGGACGTTTGCGTGGATATAATGCCCCTGTTCCTGCCCGAAAAAAGGTCAGTATAACGGGATAAACATCCTTTGGACCTTTATAAAACTGTTATCATAGCTACTAATAGACTTGGGAATACTTCTATCCTGGTTTTCTTCTTTATACATTCCTAACATAATCGTAAGTTTTGCGAACAGCTGGGAATGAATGTATTGAATTTTAACGTAAACAAATGAAACATTAATTTTATGATAGTAATGTAAAATGTAAGAAATTGTTGTATAAACAATTGTGGGATGAAATGGATAAAAACAGTTGAACGAAAGAAATAGTGTAACGAATTCTTCAACTCTCATCATCATCATAAGGTCGTCAGTCCTAATACTGGTTGGACACGTACCCGTACCTCCATTCCTCTTTCTTTCTGAGCTAAACTTCGCATTTCCCAAAAACTAGAACAGCCCACATCCTTAACTATTTGCGAACAGTAATCTAACCTAGGTCTACCTCTACCCCTCCTAACTCCTGTTTCTGCCTCTAATATGTCTCTGACTAGACCTTCATGCCTAAGAAAAAAAACTTTTAAAAAAAAGCTTTTGGGTGTTTCATTCCCACCAGCCAGTAATGCTGGTGGGCGGGCAGTCCCTCCGGACTACGCCGGAAGGTAGGGCGGAAGGCCCTCTTCAGCCTGCTTTCAGGAATCGTGGGAATTGGTGGGTGGTGGTTCGGGTGAGAAAGATGAGACGGACGAAATGAAGACAGAAGAGAATGAAAGATTATCTGTGGAATATTACTGCCTCAGCATTTGCCTAAGTGATCCAAGGAAACCACAGAAAAACGTGGACCAAGGCAGACGGACCCGGAATCGAACCGGCGTCCTCCCGAATGCTAAGCAATGGTCTAGACCTCTCGGTCATGCCTAAGAAGGTGTCCTACCAACCTATCTCGCCTATTTTTTATTGACTTATATAGAGTCCTCTGTTCTCCAATTCTTTCCAATACCTCTTCATTTCTAACCTTCTCTATCCACGGTTTCCTCATCATTCGCCTGTAACACCACATTTCGAACGCTTCTAACTTTTTCTTTTCCGCCTCGCCCACTGTCCATGTTGCGCACCCGTACAATGCCGTGTTCCAAACATACACCTTTATTCAAGTCTCATATTTTGTAAAATTTCAATCGACTTCACTAAGCGGTTTAAGAGATATTTACGAATTAAAATCGGTAAAAAACCGTTTTTTGCCTCGCAGTTATAATGTTAACGAACAGGATATCCGATAGTACAAAATTCTGGAACTAACTGACGCTTACAACGTTTAAATAAAATATGGAACGGTAGCAGACGCCTAGTTTTGATATCCAGGATGTTGCCCTTTAATCAGAATCTTAAATTAACAGTCAGTAATAATTTTGTTATATTCGCGGTAGAAGAACTTAAGCTAAACAGCTGGGAAAAAGTGAGCGGGTCTATATGCGAGTGTATAATTGGTTGCATAGAACCTAATTACATGTACAGTTGGTTGCTTATAGATCCATTATGAAACTTTCGCTGAAAGGCGAAATTAATCTGTAAGTGGTAGGGTTTAACTAGTGTAACTATAACAGGTATAACATATAAATAGTAAATGTAACAATAGGACATTTTGGTTACAGTTGCGACGGCTTTAAAGTTGGATGCGATTGGGCAAGAGCTACTTTCAGTCCCGATGGACAGTACATCGCTGTTGGTTCTGCTGATGGAAGTGTTTACGTATGGAATGTGAACAGTGGAAAACTGGAAACTATCCTGAAGGAGCACACGTAAGTTGTAAATGAGTTGTTTTTGTTTTACGCCCTTTTTATTCTACATTGTTTGCTTCATTCTTTCACTTTTTATTGCCATCTGAGCATGCTTTTGTGCAATCGTAAAAATGTAAGCATGTGGAAGACAACTAAAAGCTTTCCTTTTACCGTCCGTTGTCTTTACAACCCTGAAATTTTCATTTTTTAAGACGTACGTATGAATATATATATATCTACATCTACAAATCTGGTGTCGCATTCTTTAGGTCCTTTTTTACAAGATGGAGTAGTCAGAAAGAGACAGTATATAGTACTCCATTAGTCATGATTTGTTTGATCTTTATAAAGAGCGAATATATAGATAGGAGACGAAAAATTAGAAGAAGTGGCTGATTTTAGATACCTAGGAAGTCAGATAAGTGAGATGGAAGGAGTAGTAGGGATATAAAGCAGAGGATAGCGCAGGGTCGTGTCGCCTTTAATAAAAAGAAGTCACTTCTATGCTCGCGAACGGTTAATTTAGAAGAAGAAGGTTGTTAAAGGTGTATGTTTGGAGCACGGCGTTGTACGGGTGCGATCATGAGGATATCGTGGGTAGAAAAGGTTAGAAATGAAGAGGTATTGGAAAGAATAGGAGAACAGAGGACTCTATGGAAGTCAATAAAAAATAGGCGAGATAGGTTGGTAGGACACCTTCTCAGGCATGAAAGTCTAGTCAGAGACATATTAGAGGCAGAAACAGGAGTTAGGAGGGGTAGAGGTAGACCTAGATTAGATTACTGTTCGTTAAGGATGTGGGTTGTTCTAGTTTTAGGGAAATGCGAAGTTTAGCTCAGGATAGGAAAGAGTGGAGGTACGTGTCCAACCAGTCTTAGGACTGATGACATGATGATGATGATGATGATGATATAAAATTTATTTAAAATTGTCTGGCTAATCAGAATTGTAAGGAAATGATTATGATTGTCGAACTTGACTAGTCGGACTTGTTTAAATGGCGACATATTCGGTCATAGAATCATGGTTCGCATGTGGTAATGTTTGTGTTTAAATGCCCGCCTGGAATCATTACATTCCATTGCATTACCATTGCCAACGGTACCTTCTTTCCTAATTTTGACTCGTCATCATACAGTCCTCACTTCTAAGGCTGGTTGGGCACGCACCTCCACTCTTTCCTATCCTGAGCTAATCTTCGCATTTCCCTAAAATTGAGCATTTTACATCCCTAACTATTTGTGGACAGTAATCTAATCTAGGTCTACCTCTAGTCCTCTTAGCTCCTGTTTCTGTGTCTGTGTCTCTAACTAGCCCTTTATGCGTGAGAAAGTGTCCTACCAACCTATCTGGCATATTTACTATTTTGGCTATACCATTATCATCCTCTAAGACTGCTTGAACACGCACCTTCACTCTTTCCTAATCTGGGATGGGAAGTTAAGCTAATTGTTCTAAATGTCTCGCACCTATCCGCGCCTCTCTTTCTAGGTATGGCTACTACCACGTTACGTTTATAATTTTCTGGGACTTTCGCACTTACGTAAATGTATCTTAGTAGCTTAAACATAGGATCTGAAACCTCTTGTCCTGCATGTTTCCGCCTGTGTCCCATCTATATGCATCTTATATAATAATTTTTTAAAGTTTTGTAATGCTACATCGAACTCTTCTCTCATTATGGGATGATCTAGCTCATCTATCTCCACACTATCTTCCTTTTCTAACATATCTCGTAACTCATGGCCTGCATGTAAATTTTCTAAGTATTATTTCCAGCTGTCTGCATTTTCCTCATTTTCTATCAAAATGACCCCTACCTCGTTTCTTAGGTTCAGGTTCAATTTCTTTTGATATTATACCTTTACCCTTTAGTTACACCACTGGCTACTATAAATAGAATATTTATTGCGTTGTCTGACAGTTATTAAATGCTTTCCTAAAAACACTGAAGTTTTTAGCCGAATGTGTAAATAAAATTGATAAATTTTTAATCAGTATATGTTAATTTTAACTTTACCTGATATGAACGTATAAAATGTCTTAAATCTTTAAACAAACAAACATATAACAAAAAAAGCTGTTTTCATTTGATACAATACAACATCTTGCCTTCAAGAGCGATAAGGCCGTCCGAGACAATGACAATACAAGGGCAATGTTCCTTTCTTTTACCACATAACGTATAATCCTTGTTAAGTTGAAAATGTTAAAGTTGATTTGAATATTTTAGGATACACATAAAATACTGCGGTAATTGTAATTTGTAGTTACAAATGATGGATTATCTACTTTTCATTCACTTTAATTCGACATTTGAATTGAATGTTGATCAAAATCTATAATTCAATTAATTCTTGGTATTTTAATGTGATTTATTATCAATCGAGATTCAAAGTAGAAAGAGGAGACTGTGGTAAATATTAATTAAAAATTAAAAGGAAGACTTATAAGTGGGCGAAACAATTGTCCGCTCAAATAAAGTTTTTTTGTGGTAATTAGGGGTGAGTCTTCCTTTTAATTTTTAATCAATCGAGATATTTAGATGCAATTAAATTGGAAATCTTTACTTTATATACTGATTTAACAAAAAGTTAAAGTTTATTGAGAATAATAAACTACGTAATTTTAACTATGAAGGAAATAAATTCTATTCCTTCATAGACAATACATCTCTTATCAAGAACCAATAAAATTTTATGTACATCATCATTAACTCAATTTTTGTATTTATGCATGCTAAATCCTACAGTTTCTGATGATGTTTTTTAGATGTTGCAACATTTGAAAAATGAATTTATTTTTAACTATTTTCAATGTCGATCACACGCTAGAGAATATCAATGGATATGTATAATTCTTTGAAACTTTGAAAACTTTAAAATGTAGCCCAAATATCTAGGAAGACACCCCTTTTCATTTCACTTCAATAGACCTAGTAGTTTTGAACTTAATACGTATTTTAATATCTTAGTCACCATCTATGGTTTCTATATTAGTCAATAAACGAACAATTAATAGTTACAGTGTTATGACGTTTATTTTCACTATTCATACGTACCTTTGAATAACTTACGAAACAAATTCGTGAACAATTTCACTTTTGTGAAACAATCCCATCTTGTTTTTCTATTCATTAACAAAATTAACATCTGATAAATAACGTCGAATATTTTCTTTTACTAAAATTGTCTACTTTAATAACATAAAAAAGGATAGTTTATAATCGAGTGATACTTGTAACATTACACGCATTTTTTACCTTCAAATGGACCAGCACTCCTCATAGCATTCATCCAAAACTTTTCTAGTGCATGCAGTTGTATTCATACACTTTGTTAAAATCACGCTTTTCTGGTATTTATGGATTGGGTATTTTGACTTAATGGCATCCATGGTAGGGCGCATGGTGTGGTGGAGAGTTGTACCTTTACTACAATGGTAGACGTTTTTCTCGCATTGTAAATTCAAAACCTGTCTGGGTAACTTTTGGCTCTTCGAAATAAATCTGTCGCAATTCTTTTTCTTTTCGATTTAGTTGTACACAAATAGTCAAAAATCTCAACTTGTTATTATTCACCCTCTGAATGTACAGGCAAACAAGTAATGTGTCGTCTTGTTTTCACCCATCGCATACGTTTTCCATTTCTTGATATCATCCCATGCCACTTTATATATATATATATATATTGCTTTGGAATTAATTCATAACTGGCAAAAAAAACTGCTTTTCTGTGGATTGCTTCGCTTCCTTAGTAGTGAGTTTGTTAGGACATGTTCAATTTTTAAAGGTCAACTGTTGGCCTTTTCTCTAGGTCAGCAGTAACAGCTACCTCTTGGCACCCTTATGGAACCTATCTGGTCAGCGTGGACAGGTCCAAAACTGCCGCGATTTGGGGAGACGTCTAACGAATTTATCTTGATCCAAGTATCTCCTGTCTTACAAACACAACTGTTGAGCCAAAATTCGGAATGGTCTTCGTCGCAAAGGGCAGTCAACAAATTGTACTGTGGTCAATAAAAAAACTGAGACTCTTATTTTGATAAACCAGCGTCGCTTGTTGTAAAGATGAACATCATTACTATCCATTTTTTAGCAGTATACTAACTTGATCTATTATTTTATCCATATACATATTATTACTTGGTGTGGGCAAGTTTTCAAATTATTTCAATTTTTTCGAGTTGGTAGCTCAACGAAATTTTTCGACTAATTGAAATATTTTTCGCGTTATAAAAAAGTTTTCCCAATTTTCAAAACAATTTTTAATACAAGGGATTAATCCCCATAATGTTTTTATTTCAGTCATTCGTTTAGCCATATTTTTTTAATTCCCTCGTTTACTTCAAGGTACTTAATGCCATTTTTAATTGTTAACAACGGCTACATTAAACAGTAGGTTTTTTTAATCATTTGTTTATCTTTTTATTTAGATGTTGAATTAATTTTAATTTACCTACTTACAATAATTAGTCATTTTGTGTATATATACTTTTAAACACATTTATTTCATTAGTTTTAAAAGCATACGCTTATAGAGATACCTATACGTTATTACTCAAATTTATGTGTAAACTCTCTGAAATGATCTTTTATTTTTTTTTTCTTTCCGTTGTATTCCAGTCAAAGAAACTGATAAGAAAAGAAGACCGTTTTAGAGAGCTATGAAATAAAAGAAAAAAATCAAATGAAAACTGTTATTATTATTATTATTATTGACTGAACGTGTAAAAGCGCATCATTATATGTCGATGTATTATAAGATATTAGTTTTTAAGTCGCAAAATAAAAAACGTTCTTAAAATACAATTAAAATATTTGTGACATAAATTCGAAAATACAGTTGTAGTGGATTGACATAAGTATAAAAAGCCGTTGTGTACGGAAGTCTTTTAAGATAAATTTGTACCATTTTACTCCTGTACATATTTTGGAATAAAGCGTCTAATTTTTGCAATCTGTACCAAAATATTCTCAATAACCCGCAGGTCATTTTAAAATCTACACATTGCAAAATTTTATTCATTTATTAAGTTTCTTGCAATTTTATACGTTGTAAGCTAACATTAATATATTAATAAAATTTGGCAAAAGGTAC